TTATATAGCAGCATTAATTAAAGATAAATTTGAAGATGCTTAGTTAAAATAATAATTTTTTATAAATTAAATTTAATTGTTTTTATATATAAACAATAGAATAATTTACTAGCAATTTTAATAAATAAAAAATGTTAATGAAAACACTATTTAATTTAAATAAGATATTAAATAAGATATAAAAATTGTTAAATAAATTATTCTTAAATAAAAAAAATAGATACCATAATAATATTTTTAGATAATGCAGCATATATTTTTAGAAGGATTTTAGAAGATAAGCAATTATATTTCGAATTATTTTAAGATATAATTACAAGTGATGAAATCAATATATAGGATTTGCTAAACAAATTGACAATTTAAATTTCGACACTAAAAAAGGTTATTCATCATAAACAATATTAATAAATTTTGTAAATATAAATTATTTTTTAAATGCATAATAATTTATATATATAGATTTTTAGTTAAAAACAAAGTCAAACTTGAATCAAAAGCATAGTTAAAATAAAATCTTAAAGCTGATTAATTTAGTTTCGAAGGTTACTTAGGTTTACCATTAAATAGAGTTAACTTAAAATTAATAATACTATATTACATAGAATAAAAATAAGACTTAGATATAATAAAGTAAAAAAATAAAAATTATTATTACCTATATATTGCTTAGATAATTAATTATCGATGTAAGATAAACATCAAATGAATACAATGATTTATTATTGGTTTTCGTAAAATATAAAATAAACTCAATAGCAAGAGATATAACCCGTGCATTAGTTGATAGTACTTTCTATTTAGATTCAAACATTTTATGCGTTGCATTAAGAGTATATTTTATTACTTAATTATATATTTCATTAAAAATAATTATTTTAATTAAAAGGGGTATAATAATAATTATTTATGGTTTGCTTCGTCCTCAAATTTTTTTCAAATATAAATATGGCTTTAAAATGAAAAAGTTTAGGAAACTTTAATAAAGCATTTATATGAAGCAGAAGCTAAAAATTTCGAGTACATAATTTATTTTTTGAAAATAACTAGTCACTTTTGAATAAAAACTATGACAAAATAAATTGCTGATACATTAATTTATCGTATAAATTAAAGTAGAGATAATTAATTTCTCCATACTTTCTATAATCCATTAAAAGTTGCGATTTTAGTAGTAGAATGCTTAGATACGATAGTTCGAAAAGTAATTTATAATAAAAACTAAATAAACAAAGCACGAGATATTTATTATAAATTTGCATAATTATATTGTTTAGGGATAACTGATGATAATTTAATGATTGAACTTTTTAAAGATACAGACTTAGAATAAAGAAAACTAATATACATTATATATGAAAATAATTATAAAGAAATAGTATAAAGTCAAAATTCTGAGGATGTAATAGAATCTATGTGGAATGGAAATATAGAAACTAAAACTTCAATATTTAATATGTTTTATATTACTCAAAATTTATTTTATAAAGATATGAGTGAATAAATGTTTAATAAAGATAAAATATAATTAGAATCTAATAAAAGATACTAAAATTACCACTTTATTTTATAAAAAATAGTTTGGATGAATAATTGCAGAATAAGAAATTTGATTGATGAATATTTAATAATACTTCTTATGATACTAGTACTTGAAAATTTTATTGGATAATTTGAGCCTTAAAAATAAATACATAAGTTATAATTCCAAAAGGATTATGATTATGAATTGATTCGAAACGAAGAAAAAAAATACATTAATACTTATCAATAAATATACTACTAATTTTAAATCTATGTAGATTTAATTATTGGAATTAATTACTTTTTTAGGGTCCTTTCTATATATTATTACAGTAAAGTTTAAGAGTTAAAAATCAAATTAGATTTCCAAGAAATTATTAATATATTTTTGTGTTTATTATCTTTCTTTCAATTAATTATTACTAAATATTTATTAGATATACAAGAACCTGAAAGAATGCTTATTCTTGATACCTTTAAATGGATTTATGTTATAATAATAATCATAAAAATAATTTAATGTATGAAATCATTTAAATTGTTTGGTCCTTTGATAAGTGCGTTATGGTTTATAGTTTTAGAATGTGTAAAATTTACTTTCATTTTTGTTCTAGTTGTAGTATTATTTAGTTTAGAGGCTCATTTTATATTTTATGACAATCCAACAGGACGCTTTTCTACTTTTAAAGGAAGTTTGCTTTTTTTAATTGAAACAATGTTTGGATAATTTAGTTTTGGTGATTTTGATTAAGATGCCCCTTTATTTGGGCCTGTTTTTCTTAATTTATTTTTATTCATGATAGTAATTATTTTCCTTAATTTAATGGTTGCTATACTTACTTACACTTTTGAAAATGCTGCCAGAAGTGCTTAGGTTTTATTCTATATGGATATTGTAGGTAGACTGTAAAAGTTAGAGTATGATAAAATTTATGGTTGCCTTGTTACTTTACCTATTATTTGTAATTTTTTGAACGGTTTTTTTCTTCTTTATATGTTCTGTTTAGATCCTAATTAAAAAGTATATAGCTATTATTAATTTATTTATTTATTTTTAAAAAAGGAAAAAATTTAAAAAATTAGAAAAATTAAATAAAAATTAGTTAATTTTAGTTATATTCCAATTTTAATTTTAGTTATTATTACTTTACTTGCATTAAATTTAATATTTTCACCCTTTATCTATTTTTATAGAATTTACCAAATTATTATTGCTAATATTTAATTTAAATCTAAATTACGTTTGCTTATTTAATGGACTTTTTTAGGTAATTTCTATATTTTAAAATAAATGGTTATACAAACAAAGGAAAATGTGGAATATCTATTTAATGAAAATTAGCTATATGTTGAGTAAACAAATATTCTTTCTAATGATACATATAAAATTTTAATTTTAGTTTCTAAAGAGTTTTATTAAATTAATCAGGAAGAAAAAATTGAAATCGGAAGGTTTTTAACAGCTTTATTAGATAAAATCAAAGATATGGATAGGCTTAAATAAGAAAAATTTTAAAGAAAATAATAAAAAGTTTTATAATAGAATTAAAATATTAAAAACAAAGAAATCAAAGTAATTAAAAACTTATATGAAGACATAAATTTGTAATTTAACTATGATTAAGTAAATCATGAAGAAATTGATTATATTGAAACTAAATAAGATGAAAAATTAAGAAATTAATAGAAAAATAATATTTTTAATTCATTATAATTACCAAAAAGTGAAAGCGATGAAATTACCAAGTTAAATAAAAGTTAAAATATTTAAAATAAATCATTAAGAACATCTTTTAAGAAAAAAACATAATTATCAAAAATTTAAGTAGAAAATGATAAAGTTTTCAATCATAATTATACGTTAGATAAGTAATTTAATAAATAAAAGTCTCATGAAAAGGTTTCGCTTATAAATAAAAGTAAACCCACTTTTTAAAAATGGAAAAGTATTAATAAAGAAGACATTAGAGTTTAAAATATTATATAAGATATTGATTTTCTACTATCTTTTTTAGAAAACTTTATGATTGAAGAAGAAGAAACATTTTAAAACGACGATTTATATAATTAATAAGAGATGTAAGAAACTTAAATAGTTGAATATGTATATATAACTCAATTATTGAAACTTATGTATTATTACAGAAGAAATGATGTTAAATTGGTTAGATTTAACCTTTTAAATTAAATTATTAAAAAACTATTTTAAAGTTAATGATATTTTTTATTTATAAAAAAAATAAAATCTAAAATAAATACTAATATTTTATTACCATTTTATGTCAATTAATTAATTTTTTTTATTTTTCGATAAATATTATTTACTAATATTATTTGATTAAAAAAATCTATTTTTAAACTCTTTGACTTTTTGACTTCAAAAAAATCTTATTTAATTTCTATTTTTTGTATAATCTTATTAATATAAATTATTATAGTCATTAATATTCCTAAAATTTTAATATTTAAAATCGATAAAAATTTAATTAATTTGAGTTTATTTATTTGTATTTTTTATATATTATTATTATAAGAAATTAAATTTTTTCTAAAATAATACTAATTTTTTATTTATTTATAATATTTAAGAGTATATATGTTTTATTTTTAATAAATAACACTAATTGATATAATACATATAAATATATTTTTATTGGAAATAAAATTGTATTAACTTCAAGTTAATTTCATTTATAATTAATTAGCTACATGGAGTTTATTAATTTAAGGAATTATAATATTTTTAAATTTTATAAAAAATAATTCAAGTTAAATCACAATATATTTTTTGTTTTATTTACTGTATCAATATTTTCGAACATAATGTTATTTATTATTATTAGCAATTTTTTTCAGCTTATCATATATTGTTGAACAATTTATTAAATTTAGCTTAGTTGCTTTAATTTTTCTACATATATATAAATTTGAAGTTAAATATTCTTTTTTTTATTAAAACACTACTTATAATTAAAATATATCGGCTACTTTAATGCATATTGAACATATTAGATAAACAATATTAAGCAAATAAAAATCTTCAGCAAGCTAAATTCGTTAATTCTCTGAAAAAGAAAATGAAAATAAAGACTCAAAAAATTGTACTGATAGTATATAATATATAAAATAGATGCAAATAAATATTTAAAGTTATTTATTTAAGAAGAAATTAAGATAAAAATTAAGTGAAAAAAAATATTTAGTATAATTATTTAATCCAATGAGTATATAAATAAAATTATTAAATACTGTAAATTAATTATTTACTTTCTTTAACTTATGTAGTACTAATTTAAAAAAATAAAAAATTAAATGCATTTATAAAATTATAACAAAAAAATTATTTTTAAATCAAAATATATTTAATTTTTCATTTGTATTAAATATAAATATTAAAAACAAAAAATTAATTTTTAAAAATTTTATCTTTTTATTTTAATAATTTTATATCAAACTAAAAAAAATACAAAATAATAATGTTCGGAGGAGGACAACCTTAAGGTTAACCAAACCCTGCTATAAATCCTTAATTATAACAAGCAGTTATATAAGAGCATGAATTTCCTGTTTATTTATTATAAAATTCAGATATAATTGAAGAACTTGACTTAGATCATGCTAAAAAGCAATTTAGTTATTTAAGCAGAAATTTATTTTTCTCAACAATAGTAGGAGTTACATTAAATGTTTAGATTAAAAAAATTAAATAATTAAATATTTTTTCTTGGAATAAATATTTGAGAATGGCTTTTAGAATTCCGTTGTTTTTCGCTCCATTTATAGCCACATAATCAAGTAGCGATAGATATGCAAAAGAACTTGCTCTTATAAATAGAAAATATTATTAAAGATTTTAAAGATTCTAAAGGACTGGAGATCCTAAGTATTTGGATCCTAATGGAGTATTGTTAAAATAACAATAATAAAGAAGCTAAAATAAATGAATATATAAATTTATATTTGTATTTTTATTTTAAGTTTTAATAAAATATATAAATAATATTAAATATATAAGTTAATAATTTCTAAATGAAATGACTACATTTTTATTTTATTTTTTGAAAAATTAAAATAAAATTTATTTGAAATAAAAAAGATTAGAAAATTAAAATTACTTATATTAAAAGAATAAAAGAGATTTCTTACATAATTAATATAAATATATTTATTATTTACAAAAAAAATAAAAAATATGAGAGATAACTGAAGAATAAAGATAATATGAAAATTAAAAATAAAAAGAATAAAAGTAATAAAATTTTTAAAGAATTAAATATTTTTATTTATATTAATTTAAAGTAATGTATATTTTATATATATATATATTAAATATTACTTAATATTTTATAATTATATATGTTTTCATTTTATAATTGTATTATTTACTATTAATATCTATTAAAAACTATCAAACATTAATTACTAATAACTAATAAAATTATTGAATATTTATTTTTTACAAAAACTAAAAACATATATATATATATATATATAATTTTATAAATTAATTTTTTTTATATATATTTAAAATATAAAATAATATTCAATAATTATCACTTTTTTAAATTAAAAGTCAGAAATTTGAAACAAATATCTTAAAAACTGAATAAGTTTATTAATTTATTAACCTTTTAATAAAATATTATTAAAACTAAAAATAATAATATTTTATAACTATTATTTAAGTTAAGAATTATTTAAATTTAAATAAAATATTGTAATTAACATAACTAATAAAACATAAAAAATTAAAATATATTTTTTCTTTTTTTAAAATAGCAAAATATTCAAAGAAGAAAAAAAATACATAAAATAAAATCTTCATTTTTTGTAAGTGTAGAAAGTTTTGTCTTCTCTAAATTCAAAATTAACGTCACGTGTAGTGAGTTTCTTATAAATAACACTAACAAGATCTAATTTTTCTTCTAAATAATCTCTGTCATTTTAATCTAAATGTCTATAAAAATTTTTTAAATAAAATTAAAAAATTATTAAAAATATTACACTCTAGTGAATTAAGTTCCGTCTAATCTCACTCTAACTCTCTTTCCAATAATAACAGATGGAAGTAATAAATCATCCAAAAGAGCATCATAAACGTAAGTGAGACATCTGCTTCTTGGTCTTTATTACGATTTGTGTTCTTTTACCCATTTGGATTCAATAGTTCTTTTAGCTGTGAAAAATACATTTTGTTTAAGTTTTTTTTCAAGTTCAATAATTAATTTTCTTGATATTGCTTATACAACTTTATAAGATTAGAAATGAACATAAACTAATAAAGCGGATTTTTATTTTTTGTTAGCTTTGACTAATGTATGTTCTTCAACATGAGTCAAAATAACACTTTTTAAATAAGTTTTCAAATCAGAATTGTTGTTTTCAATATCTACTAATGCAGAACCTACTAATTCTTCAGGTTTTGTTAATTTCTATTATTTTTTTATATTATATATATATTTATATTCTTGACTTTTTCAACGAATTTTCTAAATTCGTTATTTTTATTACTTCTTTTTTATGGAATTTAGCAAGTGCCATTTTTTACTTTTTAATTTTTCTTTTTGTTTTGTTTTAAATTATATTATTAACTTTTTTTTATTTTTGACTTTAATTTTATGTAATTAATTTAGATATTTTCGAATATATATATTTTTTTATATTTATTTATTTTTGTTTTTTTTATTTATATTTGAAATACATTAAAATTATTTATTTATTAATAAAAAGAAACTGTAACATCAACTTTTATATATATTAATAAAAATTATTTTAAATAAATAAAAGAACCTTTTAAAAAAATAGTTACTTATTTAATGTCAAGAAATTACTATGAAGACCTTTAAATTGAAAGGGATGCAACAAAAAGTTAGGTAGCAGCAGCGTAAAAAAAAAAAAAAAATTGTAAAATATTAATAAAAATATATATTTTTAAAGTTATCGTAAACTAGCATTAAGATGGCATCCGAAACTAAGTTCAGATGATTGGCAAACTAGCTATAACATTTTTAGTTAGATTTCGGAAGCTTATGAAGTACTGAGTGATTGTAAACATATATTTTTTAATGTTTAATATATTTTATCAATAAAAGCCATTAAAAGAGCATTTTATGACAAGCATGGTGAATAAAAATTAAAAAATGGGTTCTTTAGTACAGCAGGTAAATATTATTAATTTGTTTACAATTTAATTAAATTTAAAAAATTATAGGATTATAAGTAAATTCTGAATTCAATATTTTTTGAATTACAATATATTAATTTTTATTTTGTGCAATAATTTTACTAAAATCAATAAATTAAAAAAGGGTGGATACAGATTCGGAGGAAATCCAGAGGAAATATTTGAGAAGTTTTTCGGAACAAATAACCCATACTAATAAATATATGGTAATTAATTAAAAAATCAATATAAAACTATATATATCAATTAAAATTTGAAATCAAATAAATTACTATAATTTAAAGATACTGATAATCAAGAAAATGTAGGTAGTTTATTATCTTATGCTTTTGGAGCCCAAAATTAGCCTTAACCTCAGCCTCCAAATGTTTTAAATGTAATTGTTTAATGCACTCTGAGTGAACTATACAATGGATGTTCAAAGGATGTTATTTATTAAAGAATAGTAAATTTTATAAATATTGTAAAAAATAAAATATTCTTTAAAAAATAGATTTTAAATCAAGATGGAAGAACTACTAAAGAAATTAAAGAAACAAAGTAATTTTAGGGTTTTAGAATTAAAAAATAATTTTAAAAAAATAGGTAATTAGAAATAAAGCCAGGATATAAAAATGGACAAACAATAAGATATCCTCGTTAAGGAAACGAAACACCAGGATTATATAATTGTAAATAAAAAATATATTTCTTAAATTAATTATAATTTAATATAAAATTAGCTGATTTGGTTTTTATAATAAAAGAAATTCCACACCCAACATTAAAAAGAAAAGAGAATGATTTAATTTTTAGATGGAAATGTAAACTAATAGATTCATTACTCGGAAATCCTGTATAATTTATAACTTTAGATGGAAGAAAATTACATATTCCAATAGACTAAATTGTTGGGTAATTTTGTATATTAATTTATTTATTATATTAAATGTATAAATGAAACAAACCATAAAAAAAGACCAAAAACATATAAACTTATAAAAGGAGAAGGAATGACTATATATAACTCAGATGAATTTAAAGTCGAAAATTTTAATAAACCATTGTAAAGAGGAGATTTATATATTAAATTTGAAATTGAATTTCCTACTAAAATTGATGAAAATAGAAGAGATGAATTAATAGAAATTTTAGGATAGAAATGATTAAATAATAATAAAATTTATATATATATATATTCAATTTAATTATTATTTATTAAATTCATTAATATAAATTTAAAACTCTAAAATAAAATCTTATTACTTTTAAGTTTTTTTTATTTCTATAAATAATATTTTTTATTTTGTAATAATATAATTTTATACAGGTTTTTCAAAATTAATTTTAAAAGCTTTAAAAGGTTTTAATAATATATTTAAGAAAAAATTATTAAAAAATTATTCTTTTAAAAATTTATAAATATTTTATATTTTATTAAATTAAATAAAAAAATAAAAATTATTAATAATTACTATATTTCGTTTTGAAAAAAAATATTTTTATACAAAGAGAAAAAAAAATATTATGAATTCCAACGGAATTTAATAGTTGTAATTAAATTTAAAATTAAATTCTATTATTTAAAAATAAAAAAAAGTTATTAAAAAGAAACCTAGTAAGAATAATGTGTAAAATGCAACAGATGCAATTAAATTCCAAGTGAATATGTATCATTAAATTGTAGCCATAACTTTTGCCTAGAATGCATGACAATTAGTATTTTAAAAAGCGAGGGAAAAGTAAAATAAAAACCTGAAAAGAACGATGAAATAATAGAAATGAAATGTTATTAATGCAGTGAATTAAGTGAACTTGACTCATAAAGTATTCAAGCAATAGATTAATTAATATAAAAGATATTTCAAACAAGCAAATTATAATAAAATGATTATTTAGAAAGCACTCCTTCTATTACAACTGCATTTAAAAATTACACGAATAACTATTGTTGTTCTCCTTATTAAATAACTTTTACGCCTGTATAAAATACAGATGATAAATTTGGTGATAATACCACCAATATATGTAAATTACATAAATAAGAACTAAATTTATTTTGTTTTACATGTGAAAACAATATAATTTGTTTAAAATGTTTATAAAACGGAGGACATAAAGACCATAATGTGGAAAGTATCGAAAAAGGTATTCTAAAACTAAATTAAAGATTAGGAGAAACAAACCATTAAATAAATGCAAATATTGAAGTTTTATTAATATAAGAAAATTAACTTAAGGTTATAAAAAATGAATGTTTAAACTAAAAATAAACAATTACATAATAAATAAATGGCAATTTAATTGATATTTAGAATTCCATATAGAATAAATAGTCATAATTAATATAATAAGTAGATTTTATTTATTTAAAAAAGCAAGAATCTATTTAAGAAGAAATAAATAACATTTAAAAAAACAAGAAATTATGTAATTGCTAAAATAAAATATTTAGTCCTTACAAAACTTAGATAATAGTAATTTTTAAAATATACTAAAAATCTTTAATTTTTATGCAAGTTGTAAAATTACTTTATAATAAATTAATTTAGACTAAAAATAATTTTTACAAAATGAAGATAATATTAATTTATAATAAAAAAAATATAACATAATGAATTCTTAAGAATTATCAAGCCTATTAAATGAAGCATAATAAATAAAATAAAGAATTAAAAATATTGACTTATTTAAGCATTAGTAATAGTTTTAAAAAAATGCAGAAAAAAACTTAATTTATCTAAATCTAAACTTTAAGAATCATAAAATGTAAATATATTAAGTGAAAGGCAAAGTACATAAGAATTTAATTCTTCAGAAAATAATTAAAAATACCAAAAAAACTTTAATAAGCATATAGTCAATATTTTTAATAATAATTACAATTCTACATAAACTAATTATTAATAATTAATTAAAAACGAATCTTTTAAAAATATTAAAACAGAAAGATTTAATAAAAATTAGTTTCCTTCTTTTCTAAAAAGACAAACAAACTAAGTTATTAATTCTTAATCTCCTATTAGAAAATTTTAATAATATTAGAATTAAAGTAATGAATATAACTAAGTATCAAGAGTGAGATCAATATATGTTGATAGTATTCATAACAATAGTATAAGTAGAAATAGTAATAATATTTTTATGCAATTTAAGCTATAAGCCAAACAAGAATAATTATTTTAAATTCTTCTAAAAAAGTAAAGTAAAATGTTTAAATAATAAAAGTAAAAATTATACCTAATAGATTGATAATTATAATAATATGATATTAAAAATTTATAAAATTTTAAAATAAATAAAAGTAAATTTAAAATTATAAAAATTATTTATTATAAAATATATTATATAAGTTAATTTATATTACTTATCTTTAAATATTTTCTTTTTAAAAAAAATTAAAATTTGGATATTTTGAAATTAAATACGATTTCAGTTTAAATTTAATATTATAAAAATAAATAAAATATTTTTATATTATTATTCTAATAATTTATATATAATAAATTAACTGCAATATCTTTTGTTAAATTGGAAAATTATTTAATTACAAAGATTAACTATAAATAATTTTATTATCATAAAATATGAAATTATTGTAATTACCATGAAAAATTTTCGCAAAATATGTATTTATTTTTAAAATATATAAATTAAGATAAAAACTATTTTATAAAAATTATAAATAAAATAAAATATTAAATTTACTATAATTGCAACAAAATTAAGAATAAGAAATATTTTAGATTTTATAATTTTAAAATTATGAAAAAGTTATTTACAAAAAAAATTATTTTAAACTAAAGATATTATAAAATGAATAAAAATTAAAAATTAAAATATTATAATAATAAAATAAATAATTATTCTTATTTTGATAGAAATATAAATAAAATATATATATATATATATATATATATATATATATATTTGTATTTGTATTTGTATTTGTATTTGTATTTTTTTATATATGAAATTTAATATTTTTTCTACTTGAATATGTATAAAACTTATATTTTATATTTTTTTCTTAATAATTTTATTATTTTAGGTTATCCTTTATTAGAAAAATTATTTTTTAAATAATTTTAATATTAAATATTTATATTATATTTGTTAATAAAACTTATAAATAAAAAAATTTAATATATTAATCATTATATTATTTAATATTTATATATATTTTATACATAATCAGTATTTTATATATATTACTTTATTTACATATTATCTGTATTTTTCTTTTATTTAATCTAAAAATATTTTAATAAAATATTTATTTACATATAATTTTTTTTTTTTTTAATAAGTGTCTAAATATTTAAATATTTTATATAAAAAAAATATTTTTGCTACACAAATTACTAATATTTTTTGCTAATTACACTTTATTTATATAATTTAGATAATACACATTGATTTATTATTTATCTTTATTATAATTTTCTTTTAATTTTTTTATATTTATGAAAAAAAAATCCATTATATTTATTTGAATTTTATAAAATTATTTACTATTTAAATTATTATGAAAAAAATTAATTTAGTGCTTTTAATATTTATATAATATCTAATTTTTTTTTTTAAAATAAAAATAATTATAAGTGAAATAATTAAGCATATGTATATTATTATCATTTTTAATTGATAAATTAATAATTATATTTTTTTATAATTATTTAATTTTTTAATACTATTTTTTATCATTATTAATGTATAGATATATTTTATTAATATCAAAAAGTTAAATATAAATTAAAAAGATAAATATAAACATATACAAAAAAAAGAAAAGAATTAATAAAGTAAAAAAAAAGAAAAAATAATAATAAAATAAAATGAAACATAATAATTAATTACCTGTATCAACTTTAAGAAAACACCAATAATACAGAATTAGAACATTCTTTGACTAAGCCGCACAAAAAAAGCTAGATTACATAAAAGATAATCAAAAGCAGCTGCACTTTTCCCAAGACCAATTGAAAAATTACATCCAGTAGTCAGAAAGCAAACTTAAAGGTAATTAATTATACTTAAAATAAAACAAACAAAAAAATTAGATATAACAAATCTACCAAATTAGGAAGAGGTTTTACTTTATAAGAATTAAAAGCTGCAGGACTTTCAGCTAGAATTGCCTAATCAGTCGGTATTTCAGTCGATCATAGAAGAAAAAATAGATGCTAAGAATCTTTAGATTAAAATAAGCAAAGACTTTTAGCTTATGTAAGCAAACTCGTTTTATTGCCAAAGTACTTTAAATATTTTAATATATGATTTTTAAATATTTTATTTTTTAAAAATAATAAGACGTCAAAATAAACCTAAAAAAGGTCTTATTAATGATACAACTGAAAAGGTTGAAGTAGGTTAAGTTGCTTTGAGCACTGTTGTTCCAGTTAAATAAGAGTCCAAGAGAGAAAAGGCTGTAACTAATTTACAGGAACTTAGAAAGAAAAAAGTTTACAGAATTATTAGATAAGAAAAGACAAACTAAAAATGGGACGGATAAAGAAGAAAAAAAGCTGAAGAAGCTAATGCTGAAACTAAAAAAGCTAAATAAAATGAGTGATTTTGTTTTTTAAATAAATTATTGACTTTTTTCTCTCTTTATTCCTATCTTTTGTGTTTTTTAGGCAGTTTTGTAAAATATATTTAATTTCGCAAGTTTTTAAATATATTTTTAAAAGTTAAGAAGAGAGAGAAAAAAATAAAAATAATCAAATTCATATGTATTGCGCATTATATGTATCCTTTTTTGTTTAGAATTAATATATTCATATTTAAATTTATTTAAATTAATTAATTTTTTTTATTTATTTTTTGTTAATTATATAATTAAAGTCTATTAAATTAAATAATAAATTATAATATATTTTTATATTAGATTAAAAAAAAAAAAAATTAAAAAATATATAAATATAATTTAATAGTTAAGATATAAATATATTTTTTCATAATATATATAAATATTTATTTAAATTAATTAAAAATCTTTAAAGTATTTAAAATTATTATTATATATTATTTATTTTAAAAACTAATAAAGTTTATGAATATAATTTTAATTCAATTATTTTAAATTAAATATTTATTTTATTTAAATAACATTAAAGAATTATTTAATTTGTTTTTAGTTTATTGGATTATTAAAAAGTTTAACCAATAAAATCATAATATTAAAGAATAAGTAATAAATTTCGATTGATAAAAAAATTTAAATGCTATTTAATAAAAAAATGTATCTAATTAAATCATTATATAAATTATATAAAATACTAAAATTAATAATTAGAAAGATAATATTTTTCTTAAATTAATAATAATAAAACTTATTATATAATTTATTAAATATAATTAAATTTATTAATATTAATTTTTATCATTATAAATAAATTTTATACATACATATTTTGGCTTTTGGCGCGTATATATGCATATTAAATGCGCCATATTATTTAATATATTTTTTATTAAAATATTTTATTTTTTATAAATTTATATATTAAAAAAAAATTACTTTTACATACACTTTTATAAAAAATTAAAATAAAATACAAAATAATTCAACAAATAATGGCAGGCAGAAGAAACAATCGTGAATTTTAAGATGATATAAATGAAGAAAAGTAATAAAAACTAATAAAATAAAAAATAAAATCCTTAAAAAGTTCATAAGAAGAAGCAATTGAAGAAAATTCAATAATCGAAGAAGAAGAAATTCCTGTATCATCAGAAGGCGAAGGAGATGATTTAATGGAACAAATCGAAGATGACTATAAACCAATGCCTGAACTTGATAGATATGAAGTTGATGGATTAGATGATGAAGAAGAATATGATGATATGGATATTTCAGTTCGTTAAAAAGCTGAAAGAGAAATAGATGAAAGAAACTATTTAAAATATGCTAATTAAAAACGTATTCCAGAAGCATTAAAAGAATTCGATTTAGGCGAAGAAGATGAAGAAGACATAAATTTGAAATTTCAAAGAAGAAGATAAATGTATGATGATGAAAATTCTAACTCTGGAAGCTAAGAAGATGAAAATCAATAAGAAGAAGATAAAGATGAACGTGAGTTCGATAAATATTTAGATAGAGAATAAGCTAAAGGTAAGCTTCATTTGTGGATTAAAGAAGAGACTACTGTTAGATTTATTAGAAAAACTTTTAGAAAATTTTTATTGAATTTTAGATTAAATGATTCAAGTAATTTTTTGTTTAAATAAATAATATTTAATTTATATTTTTTATTTAAATTAGAAAATTTTATTTATATTGATAAAATAAATGAAATGTGCTAAAAAAATAAAAGCTCATTAGAAATAAATTATACTCATCTGTATGATAAGCTTCCAACTATAGCTTTATGGATTATATAAGAACCAATGATAATATTCCCTTATTTAAATGATGTAGCTTTTGAAGTTGTTAGACGTTTTTATCCTACATATTCTGATATACATCCTGAAGTGCATATAAGAATAACTGAGTATCCAGTTGAAGACCATATAAGAAATTTGAGATATAAAGATTTAGGATAATTAATTTAAGTAAAGGCTGTTATTACATAACGTTCTCCTACATTTTCTTAACTTAAAAAAGTATACTATATATGCTAATGTGGAGATAGAAAAGGTCCTTTATATTTATCCTCTGTAGAAAAGCATAATTTAGGTACTTGTCCTATTTGTTAACGTTCAGGTCCTTTTTATTTAGATAAAGAATTTACTGTATATAGAAATTTCTAAAAATTAACTATATAAGAACCTCCTGGTAGTGTTCCTCCAGGAAGAGTACCTAGATAAAAAGAAGTTATTGTTCTTGGAGATGATATCGATGCAGCAAGACCTGGTGATGAAATATTATTAACAGGAATTTATTTATATAGATATGATTATATGTTAAATGTTAAAAATGGGTTCCCTGTATTTTCTACAATGATAGAAGCCAATTTTATAAAAAGAGTAAAAGAAATCGATACAAATAATTTAAGTGCTCAAAGGATAGCTTAAATAAGAGAATTATCGAAAAAACATAATGTTGTGAAACTTATTACTAATTCAATTGCACCTTCAATCCATGAGCATTAAAATGTCAAAATGGCTTTAGCATTGGCTATGTTTGGAGGCGTTTCTAAAGATATCTAAAACAAACATAAAATTAGAGGAGATATTAATGTCTTATTATTAGGAGATCCAGGGTAATTATATTTTGCATCAAAATTATATTAAAATTAAAAAAATAGTGTTGCAAAATCTTAATTCCTAAAAAGTGTTGAAAAAACATTTTATAGATGTGTCTTCACTACAGGTAAAGGAGCATCAGCAGTAGGACTTACTGCTTCAGTAAAAAGAGATCATACAACCGGAGAATGGACATTATAAGGAGGAGCATTAGTATTAGCAGATAAAGGAATATGCTTAATTGATGAATTTGATAAAATGAATGATCATGACAGAACATCAATACATGAAGCAATGGAATAATAAAGTATTTCAATAAGCAAAGTAGGAATAGTGGCAAGTTTGTAAGCTAAATGTTCAGTAATTGCAGCTGCAAATCCTATAAAAGGCCGTTATGATTCTTAATTATCTTTTATGGATAATGTAAATCTTACTGATCCTATTTTATCTAGATTTGATATATTATGTGTAGTAAAAGATGAAGTAGATAAAGACTTGGATTACAAATTAGCAGGATTTGTTATAAATAGTCATATAAAAAATCATCCTGTAGTATAAAAAGAAAAAGCATAAGAACCAGAAAAATATAAAGAATTCTTAAATTAAGTATTACTTGATGAATCAAGAAGAGAAGAAAAAGAATAAATTCCTTCAGATATTTTAAAAGATTATATTTTTTATGCAAGATAAAACATACACCCGAAAATATAAGATATTAAAAAAGACAAAATAAAAAAATTCTATACTGATTTAAGATAAGAAAGTGCAGTTTCTGGAGGCATGATTATTGCTGTTAGACATATTGAGTCTATTATTAGAATGTCAGAAGCTCATGCAAAAATGCATTTAAGAGAAATTGTTATTGATGAAGATGTTGATGTTGCTATTAATGTCATGCTTGAAAGTTTCATTTAATCTTAAAAATACTCTGTTGCTCGTATGATTAGAAGTAAGTTTAGTTCTTATTTAACTAAAATGTCTGACAATGATTATGTCTTGTATAAATTATTAAATAAAATCTAAAAAGAACATGTAAATATTATTTATATATTTTTTATCATATTTATTTAAATAAAAAGCTTGCTGTAATTCAATTTACTAAAAGAAATGAAAATCAAAGATAACAAGATATTATGTGTAAAATTCCTATTATATAATTTGAACATGAAGCAAAAGAATATGGAATAAATAAATTCGAGTAAAAATTTATTATTAAAGTTATATTTATTTTTATGTATTTTATATTTAAATAAAGGGAATTCTATAACAGTAAATTGTTTTAAAAATATTTTGAAAGACAATAAAAATTTATTCTAGCTAAATAGTGAATGCGTAATATTTTATATTTTTAATTTATGTATTTATTAACTTTAATAAAAATAAATAATTCAATTTATAATTATAATTTATTATATTTCTGCTTTTTTAATACATCGATTCTAATTTATTCTTAATATTTTTAATAAAATAATAAATTTATTTCAATAAAGTTATTAAAACTTCATTAAAATTAAAAAAAATATGTTTTCTATTTTTTGCTTTTAATATATATAAAATTATTTATTATAAAAATTGCATATAATCAATTATTTTATTTATTCTTTTATTAATTTAAATAATGAAATATAACTATTTTACTTTAATTAAAAATATTTTTTTAAATAAATAAGTCTTATATTATTTTTAATATCTAAAAAGCAATTTAATAATTAAAATTATATTTGTAATACATCATAATTAATTATATCCCTTATTCCTTTGTAAGCCAAATTTTATAAAATTATTTTTAATGAATTAGTCAATATAAAAATATTTTTTTTTATAATTATAAAGATTTAATGATAATAATTTATATTTTTTATTTTTGTAAGAATTATTAGTTTTTAAATAAGCATAATAAATATATTATAAGTACTCATTAAAAATCTTGCTAGATATATAATATATGTTAAAAAAATTAATGAAATCTTTAAAATATTTATAAGATTTATAGTTATAAAAGAGGTAAAAAAAATAGAAATGTAATACTAATATTTTCTTGTTTCGTTAAAATAAATTTAATTTTTATTTGTATATATGATAATTTAAATAAAAAATGTTTTATAATCTGTTTTAAATTGCAATAAATATTTCAAGGATATAATTATTATGATTAAAATTAAAATACAATTTTAGTTTAAAATAAAAATAAATATGACATTATAATATGAAAAACTATAATTTTAATAAAAATACATTCAATTATTTTTATTAATATATACTAAAACAATAAAATTTAGCCTTTTGTTTGAATTTTCTGTTTTTGTATTTAAATAATACATGGCTTTTACATTTTTTATTTTTTTTATTTGGTTATTTATTTTTATCTTTTTTTTAATAACTGGAATTACCTCTAAAAAAATTAAAAATCAAAAAGATTGAATTTAAATTATCTTTATTAATAAATGTTTTCATATTTAATTAAAAGATATTGATTCTAAAATAATTAATAACCTAAAAAAAAAGTTGAAAAAAATAATAACTATATTAATATTTATTATATAATTTTTTTTTATCATAAAACACTTTCTTAAAACTATATTATTTATTTATTCGTTTTAATCACTTAACTTTTTTTTTTGGAATATATTTAAATAATATAATTAAAAAAAACATAATTAATTTTAAAACACTTATTTTTTTTTTAATGAATATCAATTTTGATTAAAAGAAGAAATATTAATTAAAAAAAATATAAACTTCATAATAAATATTTAGATATCATATAATAATTGCATTTTAAAATTATAATTTTTTAAAATTTCTTTTTTATTCCATATATGTTAATTATTATTAAATTGTAAATAAAAAGAAAGTCAAAAATAAATAAATGATTTTAACAAAAGAATAATAAAAAAAAGCTTAAGAAAGGCAAAAATTTTAATACGAAGGTTAGCATTTATTAATATAATAATATGCAAAAATTAAAATATTAAATTAATAAAAAAAATATATTATTAGGTAGAACAATTTATGAATGGGATTAGACATTAGAAGATGTGAATATTTATGTTTAACCTCCAAAATATGTACTTAAAAAATATGAAGATGAAATAAAAAAGCAATTGAAGCCGGGATAATAATTGCCAAAATTAGAAATAAAAATAAAACCAACTCATCTTACAGTTGGTATAAAAGGAAATCCTCCATTTATAAATGTATTAAATATAATAAAATATACTTATTTATTAATTTTTTAAAAAGGAGGATTTATTTGGATTATGTGATACTGATGATTCCACATGGATGATAGGTAATAATAACAAATAAATTTAATTTTAATATAAGATTTATTTTTATTATAGTTGATGAAGAGTTACATATTCTTTTATGCAAAGCTCACAAAGGAGAAGTATGGCAAAGTGCACTAAAAGGACATACATAAATTGATTTATTAACATAATAAGAAATACAAAAGAAACTAATGTTAGAAAGATTTTAATAGGAAGTAATTTTATTAATTTTAAAAAAATAAATGCGATATTATATAATTTATTTTTATAAGAATCCAGGTTTTGACTTTTCTTAAGCTGAGTTCAATGGAATGGCTCCAGATCCAAGGAACTTTATGGGTGGGGTTAAATATAATTGATAAAATAATTAATGTCTATTTTATTAGCATTGTATTTAACTTTTAATATTAAAATTTTCTTTTAAATATTAATTTTTAAAAATACTAAAAATATAAAAAATATTCGTATCAAATTTTATATTTTTAGAAATAAAAAACTTTAAATTTTATTTTATATTATTGAAGTAAATATTTATTAAAATAATAAAATTTATTATAAAATATATATGAGACACTAATAAAATAGGCTTTTAATAACCTAAAAAGGCTTAACGTTAATGCATGAATTAAAAAATTAATCATAAAATTAATAATTTATAAACAATATTTCATAATATAATTAATACAAGCAAATAAATAGTTTACCAAGATAATTATAGTCTTCAATAAGATCTAGAAACACAATAAAAACTATGAGCAAGCCATTTAAGTCTGAAAACAGTTTATATATTAAATTATAATAACCTTCAGTCTGTGAAAGCACAAATTATGAATAGAATTTGTAGGAAACTTTATTTAATTAAAATAATAATAATAATAAAAATATATTAAAAAAGAATAAAAAATTAATATATTTGAGTTAATAAAAAAATAAAATAAAAACTTAAGAAGGAATAAATTTAAATTTAAATAATTATGATTATTAAAATGACATTAAAATAAAAAACATTTAAAATTTGATTAATAATAATTAAATACAATTTTAAAAAATATTTTAAAAACATTCTAATATGAATAAGTTATATGAATAAATTAACTAAATTTAATAGAAAAAATATAATTAAAGATTATTTATTAAAAATGAAATGTAAAATTAGGAATTATTATATATTTTTAAGGAATAATTGTAACAATAAAGCTAAATTCTAAATTCTTATTAAAAAGATAAAATAATAGTTACTGAAAGGTATAGAGAAAATTTATAGTAAAAAAAAAATTTGAAATATTTATAAGGTTTTAAGAAAATTAATAAAAAATGTTATTAAATACAATAAAATAAATCTACATAAGTTTATAAATAATAAAACTAATGAATTTATATAAAAAATAATAAAATTATAATTAATAAAGTATTAATAAATTAAATTTTATATTATATATATTTATATATATTGCTAATATAATGATTTTTATATTTAATTTATTTATTTTTACATTTAATAATATTTTTTTATAAATATAAATAGAATTATATTTTTTAAATTACAAATAGATTAAAAAATAAAAATAATATGAATAAAACTTAATTAATGAACACATATATTTATTATTATATATAATTTTATATTATTTATATTTTTAAAAAATATTATTAGTTTTAATTTTTATAAATATATAAAATAAATACACACTTTAAAAATTTATTTTTAAATATTCATTTATCATATTAAATATTTTTCAATATATTTCTATTGATTATTTTTTATTATGTCATAAATCTATTTATTTATAATGAAATTAAATTGCTTATTCAAGTAATAATTAATTAATCTAATATTTTGAAAATAATTAATCATTAATTAATACTACTGGTACTTCATTTTTAAATTACTTATATTCAGATTATTAATCATTTTAATCAATATGAATAACTTTAAATTAAATTAATGGATATTTGTGTTTCATAATTTTAAAAAAGGAATTGATTATTCACATAAGCTACAACCATCTTTAGTAAGCAATTTTATAATTAAATTATTCATTAAATATTATAAAAAAATTATAATAATAAAAAAATTAGAAATATAAAATATATAATATATATATAATAAATATATTATATAAAATATCTTTTTTAAATTATATTAATTTATTAAATATTTTATTTATTAAATATTTGTAATTTTAATATTTAGATTATTATATATTTAATTTAAAAATAGAAATTATTATTAATAAAAATAATAATAATATAATTTATATAGATTAATATAAATATAAATTATTTTATAAATAATAAAAAAATATTAAAATTAATTAAAAATTATTGATTTTATAAAAATTTAATTTATTTTTAATTAAAAATCACATTATAATTATATTTACAAATAATTAAAATAATGTATTAAAT